CTGCACCTGCAAATTCTCATTCATCCAGAATGTCTGTTACTTTTTTGATGGGTCCCTGTGTCTGCTGAGATAAATGGCCCTGCAAAGCAATGAAAATAGCAGGTCAGTTTTGTGATTGGCGAAAACCCAAAAACGTTTGTCTTGGTGGCATGTTGCAGCTTTCATCTCCTTGGATGATGCATCTCCTCTTTCATCTCTTTCTTGAAGTTTGTTCTGTCACTTGTTCCCCTCCTAAGAACAGTGGGAAGAACAGTACAGACCTTTTGTTTGTGAATGCTGGCTCTTGTGAGCTTAATATACAGAAGCAGAAGATGGAAGTTATGTGACTTCAATATTATTTCAGGTCGCTGAGACATAACTACATACAAACTTGCTGAAAATATATGAGAAGAAAACAAAAATGTTTTTCCAAGCCATTAGTAGAAAACCTTCCCTTTCTAGAGCTCTTTGCTCTCCTAAGACTAATGAGAAAATTAACAAAGAGAAGGAGCAAAGGAGTAGAGCTGAGATGTATTCTCAGGTGAGAAGTAATTTGCCCAAATCGGCCTATTTATGATAAATGCAGGAACTCACTGCAGTCTATGTTACCTCTTCTTCAGTGGCAAACTTAAAAAGTCACCTGTTGTTTCCAGTTCATTCTGTCAGGAAGATGTGGAAATTAACACCAGCAAGGAACTCCAAAGGACCTGCACTTTCTACAGCAACCAACCTCACTGTGACCTATTACTGAGTCTCAACTATAATCAAGGCTGAAACAAACATGACATTTTAGTAGGATGCAGCCATATAAGGCATCACAGATGCATCTTCACCTTTCCCAGTCTTCTCAGAAATGTAATATCATTACCTATAGACATGGTATTACTGAGATATCTGAAAGTGCGAAGAACATGCAAGGTTAGGTCGTGCAAAGGAGTTAATCAGTTCCTGTGTATTATCACTTTCTCAGAATAGTTCATGCATATACCCACGTGCTTGCCACTTCATGAGTGTTCTTTAGGTGGCATAGGTTGCTCTTGTTTCACATATCTGCAGCAGAATGATACACCAAAAATTGCTTACTGTATGTTTAGGCTTTTTCCCCTGTGTGGCATCCCTACTGAACTGCCTGTTGCCTACAGAACAAGAAACAATGGGAAGTGTGAAATACAGGGTCTTTTACCCTCAGCTGAAAATGTCTACCCCATAGCACAGATCATATTCACTACTGGTGAGAAACACATCAAAAAGCAGGCAAAAGCATTCCTTATTTGTCAAACATTCCACAAAATTTCAGTAAAGACAGCAGTTTGCCTTTTCCCCAGCTGCTGCAGTTCTCATTTTTTCCAGGAAGTTCTTCCTCAGACGCTGTTTCTTCTCTGAAGTCAGACTGGGATGGGTGGTCCAGCTTTTTTCTGGTATGACACCAGAACAGGCAGCACCTGTCTTCTGTCCTCAGCACTGCTGGTGGCCATCCTTGTTCCACTGCTTTTTTTAACTTTCCTGATCTAATACTAACACCAGCCAAAGATTAATGTCCATGTAGCACGCAAAGAGACCTTGCCCTCAGAGTAAAGCTGCTTCAGAAGAGATGTGTTCTTGGTGAGCTGCCAGACCAGGAGTTTTGCAGCAGTTCTTGTCAAGTATCAACTTCTCTCTGCCAAGATAACCTCATGCAATGAGGCTCTCCTTTAAGTTGACTGTAATGTGGTATCTTAAAACACATGTATTCATTCATTGCTAAGTGGTGGCAATGTTTTATTTGAACAAAATGACTCACAAGCTTGGCCAAAAGTGCACTATTGTTAAGGAATGTGTCACAATTAATCATAACTATTAGTGTCTCAGATAAATCAGTATCACTGTTTAACATAAGCAAGCAG